CATCAGGAGGCTGAACCCTCAACAGTCTGCAGAATCCCCTCACTGATTACACTGTAAATGATAATCTACCTTAACCAAAATCAAAGTAGACTATCACTATATATATATATATAATACTCCTCTGGGCGTTCAGTCTGACGTTCCTGACCGCAATTTCGGCCTTTTCTAAACCCCAATCGTCGTCAGGTCCTACTGTCGGGATCCCAGTAAGCCCTGACGATTTCGGTTGGACATTCAACGAAAAGAGAACGCCGCACTTGCGGTCGGCTAGGAACGCCGAAGTTAAATTCCTTATCGTTGGAGAAGGGGGGGAAAAAAAAAAGTCCTCAAGATTAGTAATAGACTAGATACAGTACTTCGATTGATTGCTCGATTAAACCAATCAATCTACCACGTGGCGTACCTTCCTTGATTCGCAGTTTGTAATCCGATTTACAGATCTCACACCGTCCCGCTTCGCTGATATTAACATGACGTCGTCGGCTGATCCATTGCTGCAAACATTTGAGATGGACTCTGGCCATTGTGCCTCCACATTCACACGGCTTAATCATTTCCCCCCCGCCTCCCTCTTTGCAGATTCTACACTCTTCAATGAGGAGGACCACCTCCTTCTCGCTCTCCTCCCTCGACGAGGAGGAGGGACTGTCCGTTGCTTGCGACGGCGGCCTACTGCCGCTGGCAACAACAGGTTCTTCCTCCACTTCCGATACCCTCATCATCATCATCATCACCTCCTCCTCCTCCTCCTCCTCCTCTGTCGCGATCCTGTCCATCTCATTCCGCTCTCCATCCTCACGTTCATGATACAGATTGGCATCCCGACCGGACCCCGCTCCAGGTACAGATGAAAACGCCGTCATCGCGGAAGGCAGTGACCGTATCGAGGTCGGGATCCCGGCCCAACCCTCCCTCATCATGCGCTCTCAACACCCCACTACCTACCTTTTCGTTTCAATCCTCCTCCTCCTCCTCCTCCTCCTCCTCCTCCTCCTCCTCCTCCTCCTGTCATTCAAATCCACCCTCTTCCTCTCGTCCTTCGCAACCACCTTCCCCAAGCTCACCGATGATTAATTAATTACATAAGGGGTCTAACCCAACAGCTGACGTGTACCAACTTCAACTTCCCTCACTCCCACTGCGTTGCTGCGCGATGAGAGCGCACGCTTCCGCTTCCCCCCGTCGGCATCGCGCAACTACGCCCACCTTTCCAATTACCACGCTATCGAGAAGCAAGCAGGAGGAGGGGAACTCGTCCCTCCTCCTCGTCGTAGTAGCACTCCTACTACTACTACTACTACTACTACTACTACTACTACCACTGCTCGTCGGGCCTCGTTCCACTACTCAACACTCTACATGCATTTGGACGCCTTCTAGTCCGAATGCATTTGAGGTGTTAAAGCTCGTCCGAATGCACATGATCCAGATAGCCTCCAGATGCATATAGAGTGTTGTGTAGTGGAGCTACCCCATTCCTCACCTTCCCCCCTTTCAGTCAACTCGCTCAACAACAACTTACCAGACGTCCAAATTGCCTCGGCCACGACCTCCACACCACGAACGCAGAAGCCGGGCGGGAAAATCCCAAACCGATGCTGATCTCCCGCCTTTCAGGCACTTCCCTCTCTCTCTCTCTCTCTCTCTCTCTCTCTCTCTCTCTCTCTCTCTCTCTCTCTCTCTCTCTCTCTCT